ACACATACATGTACATGTACGTGTATGTACATTTACCGGTACATGTACCCGGTAGCGTTAGTTTAATTTTAGTCTGGCACATATTCAAGCATACCGGTGGTAGATGTATACATGTACATGTGTGCGTATAGCTTGCTGGCGTACATGTACAGTACATGTACATATTGTGTGTACATGTACATGTACATGTGAATGATTAGGGCTCTGCTGCTGTAAACTTGTCACACATACAGTACTATACATGCATTTACACATGTACATGTATAAGCCGTGTTCCCATTGGACTTTTTTGGTTAGCCTACCACAACTTTCCTTTAGAATTATAAACTTAGATCCAATGGGAACACACTGCAAACTAACATCCCTGTCAACTTACTGCAATCGTGATGTAAAACTAACAGGTTAAAAAGGGTCGTGGAAGATTTACGTGCAGCCAGTAAGTTAGTAGGGGTGCAACAAAATCCAATGGGAAGAGTTCCCATGTCGACAAGGGGTTGTGTGCCCCTTTCTGCTGTTGACCATAATGCATATTATACAGGCCATGCATGTGTCTGCACACTTACGGTAGTTGCACATTTTATACATACACTGTACATGTACGTGCACATTACGTACAGTAATTACATGCTACAGGCACAGTGGTGTACACTTATAAATGTACTCACTTTATACATGTACATGTACCTTGACATGGCTATAAGTCTTCTACCGGTAGTTTTAATGTGATTTTTCCTACCCCCTAGGGAGTTAGTGTCAATTAATCCATATTACTCTATCTTTGAGCTACATGTGTCAATGGGGCCTCAAATGACTTGCTTTTAAAACTCGACCTTTTCCACTGTACATACTGATACATGGTACACGTACATGTTGTGCCAGGAAAAGACAAGCATTTGATAATTTCATCTTGGAACACATTTATCATCGCACTTGGTTTCAAAGATTCAACACTTATTAGTCATTGCTTTGTGCCTTCTGCCCTGATTGTACACGTACCTGCGCATGAATGATGAACCCTACTGCCTTCATCTGCAATTTGAAAGTACACTGTACATGTGTACACGTATGTATAATAAAACAAAATTCATCATAAAACCTTACAGGCTTCATTAAAAAGGGAAGCCTTCCAACATCTCTCTTGGTGTGACCTGATGTGTCTTTGAAATGTCCAGGATTGTATGTAGCTACATGTACATGTATTCACATTTAAAATGCCACATGTATGTACAGTGTATACATGTACATGTACCAGTACAGTACATGTACATGGATGTACTGGCACTAATGCATGAATTGTATCGGCATTGGCACTGCTCCTTAGCTATGAAGCCTCTGTCGAAGCACATTATAACCGCAACAATCACATTATCATACCCTTGCTGTTCTGCACATACAATGTACATGTACACTGTAGTGGGATTTCACCATCTATAGTGTACACTTGGTCATTATGCTCCGCCATGCCGATTTTCATCTTGACTGGCATTCGTCCGTGCATACAAATGGCTGCAGAGTAGTACATATGTACATGTACATGTACATGTAGGTACAGTGCATATACATGTACATACATGTATGCCGGTACCTGCACCGTACATGTACGAGTACTTTACCGGTGGCTTGAGACCAGACTTGACATTGACATCATCCCAGGGTGTATGTAAAATCATATTGAAATTGGAGGATTTGGGACTGTTGGGGCTATATACTCTGGATATGAAGACAGTCTTTGGGTTTGCTTGTCCCTAGAATGCCTTATAGTTCTAGAATAGAAGGAATTTCAAGGAAACTAACGTTTCCTAAAACTGTGTTTTTATTTCTACTGCCAATTTCACTTCTAAGAAATAATAAGGGAAGAACCATGTAGACTCATTAATGTACATGTAGTTGCAGCGAGCACTGTAATTGCAGGGAAAGCTTTCATCTAAAATGGCCACCTTGTGTTTGTACATACACTGTACATGTACATGTACATGTATACATGTACACGTACCTATTGGGTTTGACCTGGCCACTGAGAGATATTCTGAGAATTGCAAACAGTTTTCCGTGACCATTGTACCCCTTGGCAGAATTTTCCAATATCTGCCACATTTCTGTGTGTGCTTTTGTCATACACCTGCCAACTTGAGATGGTGAGGAGTGATATCTTGTGCACCCAATTGGGACTGGGGGGGGGTAGTCATGGCTTTTTGATGAACTTGTGGCATTTTCTCATAAAATGTCTGGTTTTGACAGGGGGAAAATCCAAGCTTGATCATTTATTGGAAAATGTTCACGCTCGTGGGCGTACATGTACATCTAACTTAATTTGACTATGGAAAGGGTTGGTGCGTTGACATTGCGAAACTGGCTCATGTTGTAAAATGAGGCCAAAATAGCTGATGTACATGTACATTTACCGGTATTTGAACTTACATGTAGAGTTGGATAAAGCAGTTGTCTTAGGCTACTGCCAGAAACAGTATTAATTTTGATATCTTCTGAGGGTCTGTGCCATGTAACCCTCCCCCCGCGGTACTCTACAGTTTTGATGCACGGACGCCCCTCCCTGCCTGCCACATACATTATAATAACCGTACATGTGCATTGTACACTGTGCTCCAAATGTATGTGTACTGGCATTTCCTGAAATCACTTGTACATGTACACTTAACCGTACATGGTGTGTACATGTAGTATGGTGTACATGTACGTGTAGGTACATGTACATGTCGGGTACATGTACATGCACCTGACATGTACATGTAGGTACCGTACATGTGTACATGTACTAATATGTACAAGTGTACATGTGTCAATAAACAAACATACCGGTATATACTGTACATGTGTGTATGCACATGTACTTGCATATGTACCACAGTTACCGGGTACATGTACATGTGCACCACACACATGTCTGAATGGGCAGAAATGTTGTAGTTTAAAAGTGTATCACTTTCAACACATGATACAAGTGTACCACACTGGTACGCGATTAAAACTTTATCATTGCATGGCCAGGATCATCTGTTCCATTGATCTGTTGGAGATCAATGTGTGGAAATTAAGGTCAGCAGGTGGGTGAATTACCTTCCCCTTCAAAAGTCTCAGGTACCGATCTGTACATATGAGTACATGTACCGGCACATGTACATGTGCGTACAAATGTACATTGTACAATATAAATGTACAGGCCATGCACATGTACATGTATCGGTCCATGTACATGTATGTGTACATAGTATGCACATGTATGTGTACATAGTATGCACAGTGTACCGGTACATACGTTGTCAAATTAACTTCAATTACATGTAACACCTTGCCCTGCAAAAGCCTGTCAACTGTAATAAGGCTTTGCCTCTGTGTACCGGTACATGTCTGGGTACATACATGTACATGTATGTTTTTGCAGTTTGGCAAATTGTCAATCTGTGTTTCTGATTACTGGGTATAATGCTGTGCCTAATGCAGGAGAGATCAACTGCGTTGATTGATCATGGGACTTGACGTCTCTGTACATACATGTAGTCCATGTACTTCAGCAGACAGGAGGAAAGATTTTCCTTCAGTGCTTGAGATATTTAAATGATATGGATGGATTTCCTGTGGGCTTACATGTACATGTACCGTACTATATGTACATACATGTACGGCAGTTTGCAGTGCATGTATGGTACCGGTACCTACGGTACCGGTACATGTACCGGTAGTTACGGGTGACTTTTTATTACATTTTGTTCATCAGCTGTGCTCGAAGTTGAGTGCACTTTACCATTTGTGATGTGTGTGTGCTTCTGACAGGGGTGAGATTGACCGATGATAAAAAAGCTGAAAACAGCTGAAAAAAGGCATACAGAAGCTTAACTGTAAAAATCTCCCATACTTTTATACACAGCCAGTGAGATCCAAAACAAAACCCCCTGAAATCAGCTAAAAAGCTGAGAAATCTCACCCCTGTTCTGATGAGGCCTGCCCAGTTTCACAGCAACCAGGTATCAATCCAGTATCCATAATGGACCAACATGGGTGTATGTTGGGCATGTACATGTAGGGGTGTTCTGACATATGGTATAAATGCATGCACATGTACATGATTAATCTTCAAGGCAACGTGAATTCTCAATTCTGATTGGCCGATTCATGGCAACAAACATTGTGACATACACAACTGTATAATTTCTAACTCTGCTGGATGCGTAATTCTGACTCCATGCATTGTGCTGTTTTCACACAAAAAGCAAAAATGCACGGCTGCAGAGATTGTGAATTTAAACCTGGTGCATCAATTCCTGCTGAGGTCATTAGATCATCCTTAACAGTTCCGTTTTCATGTTTCTTGCATGCAAATGCAGCAACATCTCTACTGTACAAAGTACATGTACATGTTTGGTACATACATACATCATGTGTTATACTGATGCAATTGACGCATTGCATGAAATACATGTACGTGTAAATGTACAGGTGTAAGTTTTCTTTGGTGAATTTAACTCTTCTTTCTCAGAATTAAGACCAAAAGCACTTGGTTTTCCCTCTAAAAGTCAACAGAGCTATTGTACATACATGCATGTAGGCCTACATGTACATGTACATATACTCGTACATGTACGGTACCCGTATATATGTTGAGCAATGTGCCTTTCATGGAAACAACCAAAGACTTTTGGGCCAGTCACCACATGTGGCAAATACATGTAAGAGCCAGTGACCTCTAATGTGATATCACAGCCATCATGTTGTCACCTACATGTGTATGGCAGAACAGCTCAGATCTTGCCAATGGATTGTGGTTGTCATATGAAGCCTAGTTCAGTGGAAGACAAAACCCAGACCCAAAGTACTAACAAGCTTTTATATTAATCTTCAAAATTGAAGTACCTCATACATGTACTGTAAGTGTACAGCTGGGTTGATCAAAATTGCAGAAGAAGTGGGAAAAAATTCTGTGTATTTTAAATCAATTTTTAATGGATTCTCTGTCTGTTTTTTTCCTCACTCGTTATTCTCTGCAGCTATCTCAAATCCCAAAGCACAGAACAAGGAACAACCAAAGAGCTTCACCTTTGACCATTCCTATTGGTCACACACAACAGTAAGTAGCTAATAAGCATTAGGCATGAGGGAAATGCCCATACATAAGGTAATGAAGAAAAGTGCAGACCACCAACACCCACACAGGAAATTATCACCCACTCGGGATTTCTTCCCGATGAGTGACATGTACGGGTACTGTTGTAACTTGCCCCTAGTGTACATGTACATTGTACGCGTTTCCAAGATTTCCTATGAACAGTAACCACTTGATAAACTCAAATTCGGTTGACTCGAAACTCTGTTTATTTCGAAGACATTCTTCAGAAGAATAGGCTTTTATGTACAAAAATACCTCCGTAACTCTAAATGCTAACACCACTACCTGATTTCATGTACATCAGCTTAACTGAAAGTTATTGATGGGCCGATCCAAAAAGACCGCCACCAAATCACTGACAATTAGTTGAAAAAGGAATGCCAGACGTCAATTATAATTTCTGCTAGCCCAAGGTGCACATTGTCTTTTACGTGAGGACACGTGCGTGCTTGCTGCTATTGTAATCAACGAGTCGCGACCGTGTACCACCGGCCAAAGCCTAAACAAATCCTAGCTTTCAAGCAAGCCTGCATGTGCATGGTAATTGCTATCGTGGCTGAAATATGTCCTGCATGCAGTCCAATCGCTAATTCATTGTGGTGGCCATGAAGATCGTTGAGTGTGCCACAGCTAAAGCGTGGCCGCCGCCTGCCTGACTGCAGCACTCGTGTGCTGCTCACATGCAGATTGCCACCATGTGAGTTGTGGCGTCGTCTCAGTGCGGGAAATTCATTTTATGCATAGCCAAATCTCACTCGAATCTTTAAAAAAGAGGTGAAAAAGGAAATGCAAAGGAACTGAGACAGACAAAAAACATGTTAGAAAAACTATTTGTTACACTCGAATGTTATGAAATTGAAAATGGTGCCCCCTTAAGCAATTAAAAAGGAAACTACATGTGTCAGTGACCAAACAAGAAAACCCAGGTCCTGGCCAAGCGAGAGAGCAAGGGCTTAATATGTAGGCTTCGTGAGTCACGCTGTGCGTAAAACGAAACAGCATGAAAGAATTGTCACAAAAAGACGCACAGTTTTGGTGACTTGTGCATAGTAGAATAGAAAATTTTAACCAAGAAAAACATGAAATCTCATCAAATTGATGATTTTTAGAATAAATCTGTTCTTATGTTCTTGGGATATAAGGACATAGTGGTACATGTAATTACTGTAATGTCTTCAATACCCACCATGGGGGTAAGTAAGATTGCTTGCGCACTGTGAGTGTATTTATGTATGTGTGGGCAAGACCCTGGATGTTTTGTTATCAAAATCTGGATAACTCAAATTTTTGATCAAGTGTTCCCCATGAGGTTCGAGTCAACGAGATTTCACCGCACATGTACCGTATCAGCACAAAATCTTGAAATTTAAAACCTTTGTTCATCAACCAGTACCATTGCACATGGAACACAGTATCCACTCAAGAGCATTCAAATGATGTCCACGGTCATCATGTGCCTGCACAAAACTGATGTACATGTTCATGTGTGTGCCTTCCATGGACATACATGTACTAGTACAGTACTGTACATGCCCTAGGTGATTACTAAGGCTGCATACAGTATATGCATAATTACCGGTATGTACATGTACAATACATGTACATGTATGTGCAGAGTACTGTGACTATGTACATGTATATGTACAATGTACAGCATGTGTCCAGTTTGCATACAACTTTCACATCCATTCCTTGCAGGATTTTCAAATACCGGTACATATACATGTACATGTTTATTCATGCACATACACATGTTCATGCCAGTGACATGTACAGTACACTTGTACTTTATGAAATGTGTATTTATTTACACAGAAATGCGTATTGTGTGTGACAGTGCACCCTGCTTTCTTTACATGTAATGTTTGAAATATGTGGCACATCACATTTGGCTAGGCACACCTTAATGAATTGCCATATACATTTAAACCCCATGGAGTAGCATTTCAAATTTAACTAGGCAGTAAAAAAATAGGCTGGCCTGCCTGCACTGAGCACACATTTGCTCCCTGGTACATGTAGGGCCAGTGACGTTCAACACTCAAGATTATCACCAGCCACCCACGGTCAGTGGGAGGCTGATTCAGCATGGCTGTGTCGGAATTCGTAGAATATCTGCCCTGCAAATCCCGCCCAGAACCCACGGACTAATTACGAAAAAGAAAGGGGAAAAAAAACCTTGTAGAAAGATGTGTGCTTGTCCATTCCCATTACTGAGACTCCCTCTGAAATTTGTGGTTGCTGGGCTCAGGTTGCCGTGGTGACTAATTATTAAATTGTCCATGGATTACCCTTGGGGCAGGCGATGGGCCCATTTGCCCCTTGGAATGTTCCAGGTGACAGGATGCATTTCCAGAAAGGAGCTTCTCTCCTATTTTTATAGCATCCTACATAATATGTAGCATTAACCTTTTAGTTGGAAAGTTTTTATGCTGATCTCCGAAAAATACTCCATGTAGTAATTGAATAGTCACTCTCAGAGTTGTTGAAATCAATTTACAGGTAAAATTTATGATTAACATCTTTAAAATCCTCCCCTTTGCTTTGAATTTTGTCTGCCTTGGGCTCGTCTCTGTGCATAATCATGGTGGGTTAGACTCTGGCAAGTACGAAGTGTACACCAAGGCAAAGTTGCGCATGCATCGGTTCGGCACCGTGCATTGCACAGAATAAATTTTCACTGATGAGTCTGTAATAAAGACCAAGCTGGTCCGGTCCGAATGGGATGACGTCCTCTTGGATGTGCGTCAGACCCATGAGCAGACGGAGACAGCATTGATAAGTGGAGTGGGACTTTTACAGAAGACTTTCATTTCTGCCCTGGGTCATGTCTTTTTTTTTTCTTAATTTCTTTTTTGGGGGGAGGGAGTGAAAAGAATTTAATCTTGACATTGTATGCATTCCTCAGCAATCTTTGGTCTTACAGACATGTGGTTAGTTTATAGTGTTTTTCTTGATGCAGTTGAATTTAATTAAAAGAAATTGTCATGAGCGCCCCTCATGGCAAATTTGGGAGATGTCATGAGTTGTCAGCAAAAAGGAGAAAACAGTGGTACATGTATCCCTAAAACCACGTATATTGCTGGGAAAAAGGAAAGTTTACAAACTTTGAGCACTCCTAAAATTGGTTTGGGAGACACCTTAGGTTGTCAGAAAAAAAAAATGAGGAAAACATTTTTAAAATAAATGTACAGGGCGTTGTCTCTGACAAAACAGGAAAATGAAAATTATGGGGAAATAAACTATAAAGAAAAATATAAACTTTGTTGAAGGGGGCCTATATACTCTTATGTACTGGTACATGTATTTCGCTGGTATACATGTATGCTCAAAAGAAAAAAAGCCTCGTGCAAAAGTACCTGTATGCAGCGTTGGTGAGGCAATGAAATCAGTTCTCTTTTATTTTTTCTTACTTATAATTCCTGTGGCCTGGCGTGTAGGCAGGTCAAGTGAATAATGACCGTTAAAGATGGCCCCAGAAACCTGCTAGGCAAGGGCGACGGTCAGCCATTAATGAAAAGGAGACAGGCACTGTAATTGGAAGCGTGTCATTAATAACTAACCACTTCAGAGTGAATATTCCACAGGTCTAGTGTCAGTGGTCTTTATGTAGACACACAAAAGGTGACATGCTGTCAGCCAAAATGAAAGGGAAAAAACCAGAAATGTTTCCCTTGGTTTCAAGGAAGGCACTTTAGTTGTACATGTACAGTACATTGTACACTGAACATGTACATGTATGTATGTGTACATCTTCTATTGACTTTCATTAAGAAGACAGCGATTTTCATTGGTCTGGTTAAAGAGGATGATTTTAAAAATCAGAAGTTTGTGAAAGAAACTGATTTTTAAATATATTTGTACATACCCCCAGTACATGTGTACTTGTACATGTTCATGTACATGTATGTACTTTGTATGAGTGGGCAAACGTTTTTTTGGTCAACTTTAACCACATGTAGTGTGTCCACAGTTCATCCTTAAGGGACCACTGTACATGTACATGTCGGATTAAGTACATGTACATGTATGGAAGCATAAGTTTGTTATCCAATGTTCTGCTGAGACCTGTTCAGTCTGTGCCCCTGTAGTCCTTTCCCACAAGTCTTCATTTTGTTCGACTTCCAGTTTACCCTGTCATTTCTACCTTTCTCTCTAAATGGATAGCCATTTCGAATCTTGTTTTCGACACATATCTAAATACTTTCAGACTTCAATGCAAAGCTTCAATTTGATTAAAAATAAAATTTCAGTTCAGACAGTGGCTTTTTCTGTCCATATTTTACATATTAACAGAGTAGACTGCACTTCGTGCCTTGAATGAATGAGTACATATGCATGTAGCCTTTCAAGTTCTTTGCCTGCGTTTGTTTAATAAACTCAACAGTTCCTTTCGTTAACAATAACCGCAGTTGCAACGCCCTCGCTCAGTTTTGCTTCGGCTTCTCCTCCGGCAAAAATCAGTCCACTTTGAAATCAATCATTGTCAAAGCCTCATAAAAAATTACACCCCCTCAAAAAAATATTAATGATTTTGAAAAACGGTACTCATACCAATGAACCGGTAGATCAGGTTTCCCACCAAATACCCAAAACTTGATTAAACAATGAATGCGCGGGGGCTGCCACTTTATTTGCCCGAGATCTTTTCCGTGTTAATTTTGCAGGGCCAGTCGGACGGCCACGTAATCAGATTTCTTGGGGGAGGTGGTATTTGTCGAGACAATTACAGCCTGCCACTGTTCGGTCGGCATTATGCATGTAAACACTCTCAAAGGCCGCGGCTGTGTGTCCTTGCGCCAGAGTGCCTCACTAGCTCTTGAGGTAGTGACTTTAAAAACAGAGAAAGAGAGAAGAAAGAAAGACCGCATCTTTGAAATGCTAATTGGTGATTGCATTTACTATATCGGGCCCATCCCACGGCGGGATGTGCACTGTTCCCAACTGTGTCTCTTTTATTC